TCCTGGTGTACAATACGATGAAAGCCTACCAGTGGATGTCCGACATATTTTTCAAACAAATTTACAAAACCTGCCTCTCTACCAATCATGCTGGGTGCACCATCAGTTGTCTCGGAAACTATTTTTGAAAGATCAACTTGTCATTAGACAGTTCGTTTACTACTGCCTTACATATTTCAGCCCCTGTGGTATGTTCAGGTAAAGTTACCAAGTTAACCAGTTCTTCACATATTTCATCGCCTCTACAAAATCGAGCAATAATGGCTAGCCTAGCTGATGATGTAACATCAGTGCTCTCATCAAGACAAATGGAAAGCAATTTACATGAACCAATATCTTTTGTTAGCTGTTCTACTATGTTTGTTTCCCTCTTTAATATTCTATCTGTTACTGTGTTTCTATTCACTGGCAAATCCTTAATGCGGTGAATATTTTTTTCCTTTTCTGGAAAACCGTTAAAAGGAAAGGATCACATTCTAGCCATGATTCTTTAATATACTCCCCATCACTGAGTGGTTTCCATGTTGAGCAATAATCTTTGGAATCTCAAAACCAGCAGCAACTAAGTTGGAACTACCTGAAACAAATTTCATCAAAACATTTGACTGCATTTTTTTGTTCCTGATTTCTCGAGAAATTTGTTCTTTTTGTTCTTGCTCACTTTTATCGCAGTCATTTATGAACAGTTTCATAATGCCGCTTTACGGAGGAGTCCTGCACACCACTGTTTAGGACCATAAGATGCATAATGCTTTATCACCCTTTTGATCATGCCAAATCTTTCACGCCACGATTCTTGAAAATCTCTGCTGCTGCTGCTGCTGCTGCTGCTGCTGCTGCTGCTGCTGCTGCTGCTACTGCTGCTGCTGCTGCTGCTACTGCTGCTGCTGCTGCTGCTGCTGCTGCTACTGCTGCTGCTGCTGCTGCTGCTGCTGCTGCTGCTGCTGCTGCCGACTTCATTTGAAAATCTTTGTTTCTTTGCTGGTTGAGCTGACATTCTGGACAAGCTGAAAAGGGTAGATACAGTGCAAATAATAATGTGAAGTCAAAACAGAGTAGTAAACAGTAATGCAGTTTACAAATCACTTTACCAATAAATAATCACTCAACCACATTCCACACGACATTATATTCTAATCGTCAAACATTTCAAGAATTTTATTATTCGTATCATTAGTTTATTATCGTTTTCTTCTATGTCACAAAATATCCAGTGGTGACTCACAAACAACTGAAGGAAAATATGAGCAGAGTGAAGGCAATGCCAACCGTTCACTTCTATCATTACCAGAATACTGATGTGTACACTGGGTCGGCAGGGATTTCAAAACGTGTCATCCGAAGTAAAGTGTTCAAGCAACCGCCCAGCTGGCGCCAAGCCTGCGTGAGACGTCTCTTGTGACCACTTCTCACCGCTCCGGGTTTGTAAAAATTCATTCGCAGCAACAATTGGTAGTAATGAAAATCATCATACATATATATATATATATATATATATATATATATATATATATATATATATATATATATATATATATATATATATATATATATATATATATATATATATATATATATATACTATATATTATGGATAGGGTTAAAAAAGTCTTGGGGTGGCAGTCCAAGCCACGTGCCAACAAAAAGTTTTCGCGTGCCACCTTGGGCACACGTGCCATAGGTTCGCCACTAGTCACTAGTGTATGTTGGTCACTCATTAGTGTATGCTGGTCACTCACTGGAGTATGTTGGTCACTAGTGTATGCTAGTCACTTACTGGTGTATGTTAGTCACTCACTAGTGTATGTTGGTAACTCACTGGAGTATGTTGGTTACTTACTGGAGTATGTTGGTCACTCACTGGAGTATGTTGGTCACTCACCAGTGTATGTTGGTCACTCACTGGTACATGCTGGTCACTCCATTGCTTCCTAGGGGTTAGGTTAGGTTAGGTGAGGTGAGGTTAGGTTAGGTTAGTTTAGGTTAGGTTAGGTTAGGTTACCGATAGGGTGATTAGGTTAGGTTACCGATACGGTGGTTAGGTTAGGTTACCGATAGGGTGGTTAGGTTAGGTTACTGATTGGGTGGTTAGGTTAGGTTAGGTTAGGTTAGGTTACCGATAGGGTGGTTAGGTTAGGTTACTGATTGGGTGGTTAGGTTAGGTTACCGATAGGGTGGTTAGGTTAGGTTACTGATTGGGTGGTTAGGTTAGGTTACTGATTGGGTGGTTAGGTTAGGTTACTGATTGAATTGGTTAGGTTAGGCTGGGTTGATTTACCGATAGGGTGGATTTAGGATTATGGGTGCCGATAGGCTGGTTAGGTTGGTTAGGTTACCGATAGGGTGGTTGGGTTAGGTTACCGATAGGGTGGTTGGGTTAGGTTACCGATAGGGTGGTTAGGTTAGATTAGGTTACCGATAGGGTGGTGAAGGCTCGGTGAGGTTCCCCAATAGAGCATCAAGCAGCACTCACGCCAGACTCTCGCCTTAGGTCGTGTTATGTATGGTGCAGTTTGCTGTCCTTTCCACCTCCTCCTCCTCTTCTTCCTCCTCTTTTTCTTCCACCTCCTCTTCGTCTTCTTAATTCCCTTCCTCTTCTTCCTCCTCTTCCTCTTATTCCTCTTCCTCCTCCTCTTCTTCCTCCTCCTCCTCCTCCTCCTCTTATTCCTCTCCCTCCTCCTCTTCCCCGTCATCCCCCCCTTCCCCCAAGATTTACTAACACCACCACAGCTGTACCATCATACTAGCAAGTGTGTTGTAAGTGGGGTCTTCTTCTTCTTCTACATCTTTTTATTCTTCTTCTTCTTGTGTCTTCTTCTTCTTCTTCTTCTGCTTCTTCTTCTTATTCTTCTTCTTCTTGTGTCTTCTTCTGCTTCTTCTTCTTCTTCTTCTTCTTCTTGTGTCTTCTTCTGCTTCTTCTTCTTCTTCTTCTTCTTCTTCTTCTTGTGTCTTCTTCTTTTTGCGTCTTCTTCTTCTTCTACATCTTTTTATTCTTCTTCTTCTTCTTCTTCTTCTTCTTCTTCTTCTTCTTCTTCTTCTTCTTCTTCTTCTTCTTCTTCTTCTTCTTCTTCTTCTTCTTCTTCTTCTTCTTCTTCTTCGCACTTATTTACCCTCTTCCCTCATTTATCACCTCTTCCTCTATTTCCTCCTTCGTTGTCATGATATGTTTATTGAGAAGTTAAAAGCCTATTAAACCTTCAGCTACGACCATTACCGCAAGTGATTGGTTGTTGGAAAGTGTATTTAACGATTAGATATTGACGTTTAGTGATTGATTCGTCAGAAATAAATAAACTTTTAGTCTAGTTTGTTCTCAGTGATTAGTTATCAAAAGCCTCAATAACATGTGACGTATAATGATTGGTGATTAAAACGGTAAATACGTCTCTACTCTCGTCTTTATGCTCTACTCTATGATGTTTCACTCTATGATGCTCCACCCTATGATGCTCCACTACATGATGCTCCACTCCATGATGCTCCACTCTATGATGCTCCACCCTATGATGCTCCACTACATGATGCTCCACTCCATGATGCTCCACTCTATGATGCTCCACTCTATGATGCTCCACTCCATGATGCTCCACTCTATGATGCTCCACTCTATGATGCTCTACTCTATGATGTTTCACTTTCTATGCTCCACTATGATAACCACTGATGCTCCACTCCATGATACTCCACTCTATGATGCTCACCCTATGATGCTCCACTACATGATGCCACTGCAATGCTCCACTGTAATGCTCACTCTATGATGCTCCCTTACATGATGCTTCACTATGATACTTCACTCGTGCTCTCACTCTATGATGCTCCACTCTGTGCTCACTACATGATGCTCCACTCCCGCAATGCTCCACTCTATGATGCTCCCTCTGCAATGCTCCACTCCCTTGATGCTTCGCACATGATGCTCCCTCTATGATGCTCCCTCTGTGCTTCCTCTGTGATGCTTCACTCGTGATGCTCACTCTCTATGATGCTCCACTCTGTGCTCACTCTGCTGATGCTCACTCCCATGATAGCACCGCTTATGATGCTCAACTCTGATGCTCCACTCTATGATGCTTCCACTCTATGATGCTCCTCTCTATGATGCTTCACTCTGTGATGTTCCCTCTGTGATGCTCACTCTGTGATGTCGCTCTTGATGCTCCTCTATGATGCTTCACTGTGCTCCTCTGTGATGCTCACTCTGATGCTCACTCTATGATGCTCCTCTCTATGATGCTTCACTCTATGATGTTCCACTCTATGATGCTCCACTCTATGATGCTTCACCTTGATGCTTCACTTTATGATGCTCCCTTTCTATGATGCTCCCACATTTATGATGCTCCATTCTATGATGCTCCCACTTTGCCGATGCTCCACTTTCTATGATGCTTCCTCTGCCAAGCTCCCTCTATCTTTACTTCACTCTATTATGCTCCACTCTATGATGCTCCACTCCATGATGCTCCACTCTATGATGCTCCACTCTATGATGCTCCACTATGATGCTCCACTCTATGATGCTTCACTCTATGATGCTCCACTTTATGAAACTCCAGTCTATGATGCTCCACTCTGAAGCTCCCTTCCTGTGCTTCACTCTGTGATGCTCCATTCTATGATGCCCCACTATGAAACTTCCTCACCTTGATGCTCACTCTGCAGTGCTTCACTCTATGATGCCTCACTCTGTGATGCTCCACTCTGTGATGCTCCACTCCATGATGCTCCACTATGCTGTTTCCTCTGTGATGCTCCCTCTACTTGATGCTCCACTCTGTGATATGCTCCCTCTGATGCTTCACTCTACCAAGTACTTCACTCTATGATGCTCAGTATAGTGTCTACTCTACAATGCATCACTCTATGATGCTCCACTCTATGATGCTTCACTCATGATGCTCCACTATACTGCTTCCTCCTTGATGCTCACTTTATAATGCTCCACTCTATGATACTCCCACTCTTTGATGCTACTTTCTTTGATGCTCCACTCTATGATGCTCCACTCTGATGCTTCACTTTATGATGATCCACTCTATGATACTTCACTCTATAATGCTCCACCCTATGATGCTTCACTCTATAATGCTTCACTCTATGATGCTCCACTCTATGATACTTCACGTTATGATGCTCCACTCTATGATGCTTCACTCTATGATGCTCCACCCTATGATGCTTCACTCTATAATGCTTCACTCTATGATGCTCCACTCTATGATACTTCACTCTATGAAGCTCCACTCTATGATGCTTCACTCTATGATACTTCACGTTATGATGCTCCACTCCATGATGCTCCACTATATAATGCTCCACTCTATGATGCTCCACCCTATACTGCTCCACTCCATGATGCTCCGCTCTATGATGCTCCACTCTATGATGCTCCACCCTATACTGCTCCACTGTATGATGCTCCACTGTATGATGCTTCATTCTATACTGCTCCACTCCATGATGCTCCACTCTATCCTGCTTCACTCTATGCTCCGCTCTATACTCCACTGTATGCTCCACTCTATGAGACCCTTCTCTATACTGCTTCACTCTATGATGCTCCACTTTATGATGCTCCACTCTATGATAATCCACTCTATGATGCTCCACTGTATGATGCTTCACTCTATACTGCTTCACTCTATGATGCTTCACTCTATGATGCTTCACTTTATGATGCTCCACTCTATGATAATCCACTCTGTGATGCTCCACTGTATGATGCTTAACTCTATACTGCTCCACTCCATGATGCTCCACTCTATACTGCTTCACTCTATGCTCCGCTCTATGCACCACTCTATGCTCCGCTCTATGCACCACTCTATGCTCCGCTCTATGCTGCTCTCCTTTACACTCCTCTACTCTATGCTCCGCTCCATACTGATTCACTCCAAGCTCCACTCAATGTTCCGCTCTATAAGGTTCTACTCTACACTTCTCCACTCTATGCTTCGCTATATGCTCCACTCTATGCTCCACTCAATGCTCTACTCAATGCTCCGCTCTATGCTCTGCTCTATGCTGCTCCCCTCTACACTTCTTTACACTATGCTACGCTCTATGCTCCGCTCCATGCTGCTCCCCTCTACACTTCTCTACGCTATGCTACGCTCTATGCTCCGCTCTGTGATGATCCCCTCTACACTTCTCTACACTATGCTCCGCTCTATGCCTTGCTATATGCTCCGCTCTATGCTCTGCTCTATGCTCTACTCTATGCTCCGCTCTATGCTGCTCCACTCTACATCTCTATACTATGCTACACTCTATGTTTTGCTCTATGCTCTACTCAATGCTCCGCTTTATGCTGTTCCCCTTTACACTTCTCTACACTATGCTCCGCTCTGTGCTCTACTCAATGCTCCGCTCTATGCTGCTCCCCTCTACTCTCCTGTACACTATGCTACGCTCTACGCTTTGCTCTATGCTCTACTCAATGCTCCGCTCTATGCTGTTCCCCTCTACACTTCTCGACACTATGCTACGCTCTATGCTGCCTGGTCATGCATGTCCCGGACAATGACCAAGACTTATAAACAAAAAACAGCTGATCAGAATATGGAACGAGAGAAGTATGTGAAGAGTGACGTGTACTGAGGCGAACGACACGGGGAGAGAGAGAGAGAGAGAGACAATAGAAAGCGTGGGATCAGACAGCGACAGAGAGAATGAGAGAAAGAGATAGATAGAGAGAATAAGAAAAAGTGAGAGGAGAGACATAGAAAGAGAAAGAGACAGAAAAAATGAAGAAGAAAACACGACCAAATGAAAAAGAAAATATAATAAGAAAAATTAATAATATACAAATATTTCTTTCGTGATTGATATATATTATCTAGATATTCTTCTTTCCTGAACTATTTACTCAACTTTGGGGTAGATTGAGGAAGATTGGGGAAACTTGGGGAAACTTGAGGAATATTACGGAGTTTCAGATATTACAGGTATTACAATTTTCATTAATATTAACCAAACTAGTTGTTGATATTATTAAAAAAATCGAGAAAGTATTTAAACTGGTTTGAGTCTTACAGATAAGGTTTTATTGAGGTTAAACCTGAAATATATGATTAGTGTTGAGGTGACGTGTTTTTGTCCTTCCACGCTACCCACACACGCCACGTTCAACGCTACATGGGTTTCACGTCACCCACACACGCCACGTTCAACGCTACATGGGTTCCACGTCACCCACACACGCCACGTTCAACGCTACATGGGTTCCACGCCACCCACACGCCACGTTCAACGTTACATGGATTTTACGTCACCCACACACGCCACGTTCAACGCTACATGGGTTCCACGTCACACACGCCACGTTCAACGCCATGGGTTCCACGTCACCCACACACGCCACGTTCAACGCTACATGGGTTCCACGCCACCCACACGCCACGTTCAACGTTACATGGATTTTACGTCACCCCACACGCCACGTTCAACGCTACATGGGTTCCACGTCACCCACACACGCCACGTTCAACGCTACATGGGTTCCACGTCACCCACACACGCCACGTTCAACGCTACATGGGTTCCACGTCACGCATACGTTCCACATATATTTCATGTGGCAATCGTAGTTTTCACACCACACACACACACACACACACAACTGTACACGGTGTTCTCCCGGAAGTAAATAAACACCTCTGCTCCATCCCCTCGTAGACCTCAGCGAAGTGTTCAGCTCCGTCAGCCACAACAAAATCCATCAGCCATTCACCCCTGGATGCTTAAAGACTTCCTTATTGAACATCACCAAGCTGTACCTTCCGAGGGGCGTCTCAATCACTCACCCAGGGCGTCCCTCAAGGCAATAGGATGGAACCACCTCTCTGCTTCCTCATCAACAATGCCCTAAAGGATACCACTTTTTGTTGGGTATTTGTTGACGCCTCCACCATGGGTATCAGAGTGAACAACTGACTACAGCGTCCTCCAGAATACACTGAACAGTCTTGGTCCATCGACAACCATACCAACATCATGTTATGTATACATCAACCTTCCCTCCGACCATATCACCATCAACCATACCAACACCATGTTATGTATACATCAACCTCCCCTCCGACCATGCCACCATCAACCATACCAACACCATGTTATGTATACATCAACCTTCCCTCCGACCATGTCACCATCAACCATACCAACACCATGGTTATGTATGCATCAACCACTCCTCTGATCTTGTCCGACCTCCCTCCATCACACTGGGCCCCAACACACTCCAGTTTGTGGACTCCACCAAGCTCCTCGGCGTCACTATAGATAACAAACTAAACTGGAAGACACACGTCAGTAAAACCGTCAAATCTTCCAGCTATCGTCTCCACCTCCTCCGTCGCCTCAAGTCCCTCGGAGTTCCCGCGTCTGAGCTCTTGAGTGTTTACACAACAATCATACTTCCTGAGCTGACCTATGCCTCCCCTGCCTGGTCTTCCTCCTTAACTGCTGCACAACGGGAACTCCTGGAAGGAGTGCAGAGGAGGGCGTGCAAGATTATTCTCTCCCTCTTCTACTCCACTTATCAAGAAACGCTCAACACACTGACCCTCTCGGCTCTCTCTGATCATCACGATGATCAGTTTAGGGAAAAGCTTCTGCACCATCCTCAACACTGCCACCTGCTGCCACCTGTGGTTCCTCTCCCACTGACCGCTACAACAACACCACCAACCATTGTGAAAAAAATAAGATTCGCAGACAACCTGTGTCTATCCGCCTTCTTTATTTTTCATATTTTATTAAATTTGGAAAATAATTTTGTTTATTATTAAATACATACAGTACAGTTGTGGTCATAATCCCCTGTACACACGGCATCAACTTGTGGTCACATATGATCGGGTTACATATAATAACGCTGCTTTTCGTCGAGTGTTATGTCTCAACCACACCCTAAAACACTCCTTAATACAGTGGAAAATCTGAGATAATACGTTAAAAGCCAAAGAAAAATCTGAAAAATACATTAAGATTGAGAGAAAATCTGAGGAAAAAACGTTAAAAATCTCTAATCTTCCTCACCTAATGATCCTCAAGTACTTACACTATACAGTAGTAATACATAGTAATTCAAGTACACTCTCCCAAAAAAGTATCCCCCCCCCCCGAGCCTGATGTATTCAGAAATGAACACAATAACACTTGCACAGTAGTCTCGGTTCGGTTGGTATTTCTGATTGTAAGTTGCACATTTCGTTCTTTTTTCTTGCACCTGATAATCACCGCGATATCTGCAGTATACCAACTATTCTCTCCATAATGTACTGAAACAGGATTAATTGTGATACCATAGCGTCATGAGTAACTCCGCTGATATGTGGTACCTTGTATACTATTTCAGCCCCAGAGGATGAGTTGCCAAATAGGAATATAACGTTACTATGTTTTCATGAACCGAGGTTACAATGGAATCACTTAGAACGAAATATGCCAAATTTAATCCGATATTACATTCATTTGCAAATACAGTAATTACAGGTGTATTATGGTACCTTATCCAATTACAATGATATTATGATTTACTGCATTTCGACATATACACTATAGTAGTACTGTACACTATAGTGGTATATGTACACTATAGTGGTATATGTACACTATAGTGGTACTGTACACTATAGTAGTACATGTACACTATAGTAGTACTGTACACTATAGTAGTACATGTACACTATTGTAATAGCCCCTGTCTCATAAACAGAAAGATTATATAAATGGGTTAATTACATTTGATTTATATACAATATCAACCCCTGTAACTTTTTCACTGGCTATGAGGTGTCATGTTCATGTCACGTGATTGGTAACTTCTTGAGGTGCGGCCAGTGACTGCTTAGAGCAGCACTGAGAAGCCGGCACCCTGGGGGCAGTGTTCCTCCATGACTCACACAAGTCGGACGTATTTAAGCAGGTCTATTTACATAGCCTCCGTCCTTCTCTTAACACTCATAGCTACAGTGATAAGTTAGGGTTGATTTACACTTTGGAATTGTAGCAATAGCAGTTCCTAAATAAATGGATAAACAGACAATTGGGTTTTGCTACTAAAACCCAATTTAATATAAATGTATCAGCCTAATTAACTTAGACAGAATAAATAGTTAACCGGCCATTACATAAAGGTGGCAGAGGTGGGATATATCACTCCACTTGGATATTTCATGTAACACATCACTGTTTATTGTTTTTCTTGTATCAGTAAACACTGACGATTTGTCACGTCTGTACTGGTTTCAAAATTCGAAACAACTGCTGTCACCTTTATGTAATAGTCGGTTAACTGTTTATTCTGCCTAAGCTAATTAGGCAATACCAAGTTTAACAATTCCCACAATTGTGTTAATTCTGGGAGTTTTGTTTCTGTTTTGTTATTATAAGTCAGTGTCATCCAAGTTGACCATTGTACATAACATACTAGCCCGTAAGCCACTTAAGTCTAGGACCCCAGTAGTTGATGAAAAAACCTACGGTTTCAGAGTCCTCAGCTTAGTGTCTACATATAGTTTGTAACATGGTTAGGTATATGTATAGGATGTATTCTACGAGTTTAGTTTAGTCCTCGGGGAGCTTGGAAGGTAGGTGACCGAGCAATGTAATAGCCCCTGTCTCATAAACAGAAAGATTATATAAATGGGTTAATTACATTTGATTTATATACCATATCATCCCCTGTAACTTCCCACTGGCTATGAGGTGTCATGTTCATGTC